TAATTACTCGAGATCGGCAAGAAATTGAGTGAAATATGTACTCGATATTTAATTGTATAAAAAATTGCTATCAATAATATATATGCGTTCACCCTTAAAATGTTTCTAAAATTTGTCATTAATTTTACTTTTAGTTAAACTAACTTTGAAATATATGTAAACAAATATGTTAACTAACTTTGAAAAATCTATATCATTATCTCGTTAACAATTTAACTTTGAAAAGCAAAGGACGTGAATAGTGTAAATTCTCTGATTTCAATGGAAATTATTTCAGTTTATCTGAGTTGATATGAAATATCAATGATAAGAAAAGGATGTGAATAGCATAGATTCCCTGATTCTCTAAAATATTTCAATTTATCTAAGTTGATGTGAAATGTCAATGACAAGCAAAGGATATGAATAATGTAGATTCTCTGATTTCAATGGAAATTATTTCAATTTATCTGAGTTGATGTGAAATGTCAATGACAAATAAAAGACGTGAATATTGTAGATTCCCTGATTCTCTAAAATATATCAGTTTATCTAAGTTGATGTGAAATGTCAATAACAAGCAAATGACTTGAATACTGTAGATTCTCTGATTTTCTAAAATATTTCAGTTTATCTGAGTTGATGTGAAATGTCAATGACAAGCACTAATTTGACCACATAATTCTACAACGTACTCTGGTAATCTGAATAGATGATGGTGTGATTGTGGTCGATTTCAAGCTTTTTAGATTCCTATGCGCTCACGTTGTTGCTTCATGTATGCACATTAATATTGGCCCATACTTATATGCTGATGATTGTTATAGCTTGCACACTATGCATAACATTTACAGTTGTGACTTTAATTACCTCCCAAATGAAGCATACTAGCCTATATCAACAATTTCTGAAGAATGGTTGCCAAATCCTGAATTGCATAGGAAGTTAAGACGTAGACCTGAATCTAGCCAAATTCATATCGATATGGATGATCCTCAAAGAGAGTCATGTAACACCCCCAACTCGTATCCGATCCGGACCCGAGTCCGAGGTGTCCTATTGACTTTTCAAAGCATTTTCTTTTACAAATTATTTAAAATTTTAAATTCATATTTCATGAAAATGAATATTTTACCTTAATCAAATCAATTGGTTTACAAAACATATCAGAGCATGTTCAACTCGATCAATTAGTACATGTCAACTATATTCAAAATAATCAAATACATCATAATCATCTCCTTTCTGATCTGAAACTTTGTAAGGAAGATGCTGACTTGTCTTGCTCCTCTTAGCTTCTCTTCTCGCTTCTATAACCTACATGTGAAACATTCACACGCTAAGTCTATGACTTAGTGAGGCATTAAACTTATAAAATAACTCTAACTATTTAAAAATGCATGAACATATCATCTCATGATGCCACACCAAAACAATATAACATATATTTATATACAACGTATTATACACATATACATATCACACACTATTTCCATCTCTAATCTTATTCCACCATCAATATTATTATCATTTATATCTTATAATCATATATTCTTATATATATTCTTTAATTAACATATGATTCATTTAACCAAGCAATACAAACATCATCATATAAATCATATAACACAATTCATATCACCAAAGTATATACATTACATGTAATATATTTATTGTCATCTCTTTGTTAGCCCATGTATATTCGTGAGAACTAAAGATATGCAAGTACATTGAGGTTGTGCACATATGCTATCACCACAGCTCGTATAAGTCCCACTGAGTGGCATGTGAAATATGTCCCGAAGGACCTGTGAGTATGTCCCGAAGGACCTATGAGTATGTCCCGAAGGACCTATGAAACCTTCGACTCTTGGCATGCCAACTATACCTCTAGCTCTCCTGACACTTACATGGGTATTCTCTTTCATATCATTTCACATATTCACATGTTCATTTCACTTTTCATATGATTTCATAATCATATATCACTTAACCTATAACACTTCTCTTGTGTTCATATGATATATATATCATTGCCATATTTTGTTCACATATGTTTCCCATATATCACATAAACCCATATCTTCTTATCACATAGCTTCTTATCATATCATTCACATAACTATTTTCATATAACATTCTTGTATATTCTCATAACTCATTGTCACATATTGCAGACCACCTGTATTGTATTCAAATAATTCAATATCATTGGACTTATTTTACTTTCTTATGTTATAACATAGACATGTAGTCTCATGTGTCCTATCAATACCATATAACTTACACATGTATTTATATATACTCATCTCATATAATAATTAAACCTAACTATATCTTAAGTTCATTTCCATGCCTAAATCATATAACACTTAAGTCTTTCTCATAGAGTTATACTACATGTTCATTTTATCCTATAAGTAAATACTACTTATCTTGTCTCGCTTTTCTATTTACTCACATAAATTATTTATACCAATTCACCTAATTTATTACACTATCCTGAATTTATACAGATTATGTAACCTATACCATAATCCACAATTTTTTATCTCTTATCTCACATTATTTATGTACTAAGTTAATTTATTTATTTAGTTCAGTTCCACACGACTCCTATAATCTTCTCATTTAGCTTTATAGTTCTTTACTCTATAACTCCTATATCAATTGGTTTCCGTTAAATATATAATTCTTCCTTAGGTCGTTTATCCTATCGGTTTGTATCATCATTTATGCTCTAGTCTCTTCACTATTATATTGTTCTCATATTATTCTATAGTCTAATCTTATTTAACTCATCTCACATCTCATTTAGTCATATAATTCTATTATGTTGATTCTTATAATTGATCACATATATTATGTAACATATACGGTCACCTATCATATGTTAATACAACTCCTTATGTCCCTATCATATAACTTATTTCATATTCTTATATAGTCATATAAATCCTTTATACTATTTCACGTAACTTATCACACTAACATATATTTGTACATACATCAGGTAATATACACAACATGTCAACACATATATTCATGCACACATATAAATCATAACAAATACATTCTTCTATTTATAAATTCATGCATTTTACTATAGGAAATAAACTTGTCGCAAGTCTTATTTCCATTAAACATCATTTACTACTAATATGCACTCACATGGCCTCACTAGTCAATATCGATATCTTATCTTTCCCCTGATCGATATTACTTGTCAATGGTTCTGGAACTCGTTTAGGCTCTGTATCTACATAATTATACAATTTAAGGCAATCATTAGATACCTACACTTTGTAATTCGATACTAACAACTTAAACGAACTTAATAAACCAATATTCATTTTTTCCTTTAGGGGGTATCGATACCCTCCATAGGGTATCGGTACCCTCATTGCATTATGAAATTATTTTCGTTTGAGAGAGTATCGATACGCATAGCCCAGAAATCATATTTTTGCACGAAAATTCCTTCATTCCATCTCAAACATTTCATATTTCAACCCCTTTTATATACTAAACTCAAACACACATACTTAAGCCCATTTGTACTCATTTATCCCATCTTAAGTCTCAAAATCCTATCTTCCATATGGAATTCAAGAACCATAATAAATTTTTTACTTGTTCTAAATTTAATTCCATCACTTCATATCTCTTAATTAAGTTGAGGACAAGTCAAATTCATCCTTAAAATTTCTAAAACCTTTCTATAGCAAAAGTTCATTTCTAAACTCTTAATAGAAATTCTTTTCTAATTCTCTCTTCTTGATGTTTTAAGCTTATATAAGCTTTCCTTAAACTTATATAATCCCAAAGATTCAAAACCCTAAAATAAAAATCACCCTATTAGGCTAAATAATTGGGCCGCTTGCATTATCCCACTAATTTTACCGACAATTGAGTGGAAGGAAGGAAATGGATAATTTGTGTCCCCCATCTATGGTTGTAGGAGAAATAGCACATGGACAGCTACGCTCATCACTTTTCACTTTGACAATTTTAATTTATGCACCCAAAATAGAGTCAAACAATTAAACTCTAATTTCTTACTCAAAAGCACTTGATAGAGGGGACAAAAGATTTCAATACCAAATGATTTCCTTCGCTACAATTAATCTCCACATTCCAAAGTGTCAATCAATAAGGATCCACGTATACCCATTTTGAATTACTAATCAAAGCACGTCTCGAATTCTAATTTTCTTTTGTAAAATTTAAATAAAAAACTTTAATTTACACGATTTATTAAAATAATGATGTTAATTTGTTTAACTTTTTTCCCTTCTCCCTTCTCCCTTCTCCCTTCTCCCTTCTCCCTTCTCACTCAAAAAGTTTCATCATAAGTCCCTTTCAACGGTTCAACATTCAACGCTGAATGATTTCATTCAGATCCAAATAAAGAGTCCCTTACATTTGTCATCTTAAATTATGATTTTTATTCTAAATTATTCTATAAATTTTTTTGTATTCTCATTTCATCTCCAAACCATTATTCATTCTAGTTTAATTCACAAAGTTTTAAATATTTCAAATTCATCTCAAATTAGGATCTCGTTCTAAATTGATTTCTAAACTTTTAAGCGTTCCAATAACATATCCAAAACTATTCAAAAGATCATGGTGAAACTGAAATATTAAAAAAAAATTAAAAATCAATTTAAAATGAAGGTCGTAAAATGAAATTAAAAAATGATAAATTTAAAGTAAGATCATAATTAAAAAATATATGATATAATTAATTCAAAATTTTTATGAGTTTTTTTTTAAAGAAACTTCACACGAGTCCGGAGTGGTGGCATAGTGAGTGGTCCGAGTAATGATGTTGGTGAAATGTGGTACCACTATTTGGTATGATGTTTAATTTGATAATATAAGTATGAAGGAATCTCGTCCATCGAGTAAAGTCTACTGCTACTCACTTTGCTTTCCACAATTTCACACGCTTATTGATTCCTTGACAACAAGACAAAACCACATTGGATTTTAAATATACCCTTTCATTATTCTCTCTTTAGTTTCTGGTTCTACACGATTCTAAGCTGGATATGCTATCATCTTCATCTCTGCAAATCAAATCCAACCGTTTATTACCCACCTTCCAATCTTCTTTCTTCTTCTTTTCCTCTCATTCAAACACAAAAACAAAAAGATCCCTCATTTTTGCTATGTAGTGTATTATTCTTTGGGTGTTTTTCATCCTCTATTCATGGCTGCTGCAGCGACTTTTTCACAAATCTTTCAAAACCGTCAAAGTGATGATAAGAGCATCAGTAACGTAGACGTTAGCAGGGAAGAGATACAGGCTGCCATTGCCAAGGCTGTGGAGCTCAGAGCTTTACATGCAGCTCTTGTGCAAGGAAACTGTTACCCTGCAAATCTCAGATACCCATCTTCTTCTTCCCCTGTTTCACGTCCTCTCTCTCATTTATCTGCTCAGGATTACCCTGTTTTCACTCCTGTAAGTTCATGTTTCTCTTGCTTCTTCCTTTTTAACTTTTTTTATCAATCTGAATGAGTTGCTTAAATTATGTATCTGTTTCCGGTTAAATCAGCCCCATACCTTGCTATCCAATTGTTGCCTGCCTTGTTTACAGAATCAATGATATTTATGATATAATTCAATTTTTGTTAAATTTCACTGTTTCGTTAAGTTGATTTTCATAGAACCACTCTAGAATTTATGAAAATTAACCAGGAATTATGCGGATTGACATTAATTTTCCTTGTACTCTAATATATTAGAATGCTTTAATCCTCCAGTTCAAGTTCCAGTGAATTGTCAATGGTTATAGTTATAATTGCTCGTTTTTTGATAGAGTTATGAGGATGAATCATTATCTGGATATCATACAAATAAACAAGCTTTATCTGAAAGTTGGGATGAACGTGGTCTAGAAGCAGGAAACGGCATCGAAACTGTAGTTTCAGATTATAAGAAGAAAAGATTTTCTCTGACATTGGCTGCCTTAGAATCCCATATTTGTCCTGCCGATGACCAAAAATCCGTCGCCGGCTCTTGTCCAAATCACATCACCGTCCTACAAACATCACCGTCCGTTGAAACTAGGAGGAATAGTTTGGGGGATTTGAAATCGGTGTCATCTTGCAATAGATGCAAGCCGGCTGTCATAACATCTGAATCCGAAAATGTTGTTAGGACAATCAAGAATTCGGATACGGTTGCGCCACTATCGGATTCCCATTCATCTGTTCAATCACAACCCCGGAACCGAGGGGTGATTTCACGGTTATTCCCTCGGTTAATGAAGAAACAGAAGAATGAGAATTCTCCGAACCGAACAGAATCCGAGGAGATTTTGCAGGTACTAAAGGACTCCGGCATGTTGTCGATCGAAACGCTGAAGAAAGATTTGATAGAAGCACATGCGAATAGAGATGCGGCCCTTATGGAAGTTGCCGAGATGAGATCTTCACTAGGAGAGCTAAAGCAGAAGCTGGAACATTTAGAAACCTATTGCGAAGATCTCAGGAAGGCCTTGAGGCAAGCAACGCAAAAAAATGATTCTCAACTCAATGAAAAGCTAGGAGATTGTCCTAGGAAGGGGAAAGCCATTGATGTGAATGAACAAAGCTTGATGCCTGTCAGTGAGGAGGTAATGTCAGAGGGTTTCTTGCAGGTTTTATCGGAAGCAAGATTGTCGGTGAAACAATTCTGTAAAATACTTATAGGAGAGATCGAAGAAACCGACAATGCTTTAACGGAGAATTTGAATTCACTTCTTCGACCATATAAGCTTTCAATGAATTCCAAGTACTCTAAGGCTGTATCATACCATTTGGAAGCAATTATAAACCTATCTCTCTACCAAGACTTTGAGAACTGCGTGTTTCAGAAGAATGGTTCACAAAAGCTCTTGGACCCTCAACAAGATCGCCAAGCTCAATTCTCGTCGTTCGTTGCACTTAGAAATCTAAGCTGGAATGAAGTGCTGAGGAAAGGGACTAAATATTACAGTGAAGAATTCAGCAAGTTTTGCGATCAGAAGATGAGTTTAATAATTTCGATGTTGAATTGGACTAAACCATGGCCTGAACACTTGCTTCAAGCTTTCTTTGTTGCTGCCAAATGCACATGGTTGCTTCATTTGCTTGCATTTTCGTTCCATCCACCGCTGGGGATTTTAAGAGTAGAAGACAACACAACCTTTGATCCACATTACATGGAAGATATGTTTATGGAAAGGCAGAGATCTCATGGACAAAACCGAGTAAAGATCATGGTGATGCCAGGGTTTTATGTGAAGGGCAGGGTTTTAAAGTGCAAGGTGCTCTGCAGATATAAAAAAGTCTAATTTGCTTCAAATTGCTGGTATTTCAAGTAGAAACGTTTGTAATTAGCTAATATATTTGTAACATATGTGAGAGTGGATCAATTCAAATCCATCATCTCAGCCAATAGCTTCGTATGCGTCTCCTTGGCATCTGATATATCCTCCACAATTTTTGTCAACTCCTTTGCGTTGTTCATATCTCCGGCTTTCAAGTAGCCGTCAATGACTGGATTTGCAGGGGCCGGGGACTTCGGCGGTTATTTTCAGAACCACTATTTTTGCTTCATCAACGTTCTTCATCCTACGAAGACCAAGAACAACTGATGAGAATGGCTTGATGGCATATTTCCTTACTTCTCCAGAGAATCGATCCAACATTTGCGAAGCTATCTTTAATTGTTTCATCCTTCTTTCAGAGTGAAGTGAACGTTACCCAAATAAGTGTCCAATACATTTTTTTCCGAATAGGTGCCTACAGTATTTTTTGACCCATTTAGATGTCTAATGTTGCAAATCTTACCACTTTAGTTGTTCGGGTAGTCAATGACGTTAATTTCATCCGTTAAGTGACACATGTCACCATCTGATAATTTTGAAACTTTTTTATAAAATTTTAAAAAATAACATTATATATATTTTTAAAATGAAAACATATAAATTTTAAAATAATCCCAAAACTTTGAAAACCTTCATTTCAACCCCTAAATCCACGTCAACTGCCACCCTTTGCCATCAAGGAAGCTCCACCCGACATCACCTCCCACTAGCGACCAAAACCCTAATGAAATCATGACCGATTAACGACGAATCGACGTTTTAAACCCCACATACCTTAGGATGAAAATCGCGATCCCACGCGATTCTGACGACAACTACGACGACATATAACTAGGATGATGACAGAAACTACGTCGGCGATGACAGTTAGTGTTAGGATTTTGGGATTTTGAGGTTTTTTTGTAATTTAAAAAGAATTAGGGTTTTTTATAAATATAATAATATTTTAAAAAAATATAAATTTCTAAATTACCATATTGTGAGACGTGTCACTTGACAGAGAAAACTAACAACCGTTACCTTCCGGGAACCTAAATTTGTCATGTTTGTAACGTTAGACATTTGGATGAGCCAAAAAATATTGTAGGCGCCCATTTGGGTAAAATGGGTATAGTTTGTGCACTTATTTGGGTATTAAGCCTTAAATTAACAAAGATTGAGGCAAATGCTTCTTTTCTTTGGCTCAGATATATCAAGTCTTTATATTTTATTAAAAATGTCAATTAATTCTCAAATTTAAAAGTTACCTCAATTAAATTTTGGGTAAACTACACAGTTGTTCACTAATGTTTGAGTAAATTTTTGTTTCCCTCGCTAAAGGTTTAAAAGTTACAAATCGATCACTAACATTATCGATTGATTACAAATTAGTTACTTGACGTTAACAGCCTTTAACACACGTGATAAAAACACAATTGGCATGCTAACTGCTTACATGGACTTTTGACCACCATGTTGGACCATTGGGATCCTTTTGACCGGTGATTGAAATAATATGTAATTAATAATTAATTAATAAAGAGGGTCGAGGGTTTCATTTACCAGACTAAAAAAACATTTCCTCTTCTTCCATAAACCCATTTTTTTATACATAAACTCGTTTCTTCTTCTCCCATAAACCCTTTTCTTCTTCTTCCATAAACATAATTTTTTTCTTCCATAAATCCATTTCTTTTTCTTTCATAACCTATTTCTTCTTTTTCTTCCATAAACCCTTCTCTTTTTCAACACATTTCTTATTCTTAATTCGTCTGAGAGAAAAAGTAGAGAGAAAAACGAGCAAAGAAACGAGCTAAGAAAAACCATTGTACTTGTATGGAGGTTACGATAGAGAGGGGACAACACTATTGTAATACCTCAAACATTAGTTCAATGACTAAAATATAAGGATTTAAAATTTAGCGATTAATTTTGATAAATTGAAAAGTTTAAGGATTGATTTGGAAAAATTTGTCTAGGACTTATTATCAAATATTGAAGAATGGAAGGGCATATTGGTCTTTTTGCAAGAAACGAATTTAAAATTCTTTTTTAAAGGAAGGATTTAAAGCAATGGGAAATAGAGACAAGGAAGGAAAACTCTGGAAACATTGGTCATTTTCTCTTCTTCTTCCTTTTGCCCGTGAACACTGTCGCAACTGGTTTTCGTCCGGGCACAAATTTCCTTGGCGAAAAAGCAATGTGAATAAATGAATGTTTTTGAAGGAAATGTTTTGGAGTCGCCATCGACCTTTTGGGTTAGGTAGGTCGAATACCTAAAATCATCTTTTAAAAGAGTTTTTAAGAAAAAAACTATTTAAAAGATAAACCGGTCTGTATATAACCAAAAATTCATTCTTTTTAGTAATAAAAATGGATTCGTGGTCATTTACGTTTGGGGAAGGATTAACACCCCACAACGCCCAAAATTGGTACCCGTCGATTATAAATTGTCTCTAATAATATAAATTTAAGAATTCAAATATAAATTTAATTTATGATCCTATTATTTCAGATTCAATCGCATAATTTTATTTAAAGAAAATTTAAGGAAAAATAGAAAATATTCAAATATTTTCAATCGAAGAGAAACTAATCCCTAAAATGTTTTAAGATGAATATTTCTATTTCCGACCGAAATAATAAGAATATGATAATTCCTCCCTGAGAATTTTATATTAAAATAACTTGATTCGACTAAATAGGCATATTTGATTTTTTTCAGGTTTTATAAATAGGGTATTTATTTATTTTAAAATATCAGAATAGGAAATCTAGTTACTTTAAGATAATCCTTTCTTTAATATTTAAAAATAAATAAATATTATCATTTAATCAAGATTATGAAATAGGTCAAGTATGCCTATAAATATTTCATATAAATGTGACTAATTTAATAAAAAAATAAAACTATTATATTAAAAAGTAATAAAACTTAAAGTCAAAAAAATGAAAATTATTAAAATATCAGGGGTTAAAACGTAAAATATCAAAATTAAAGGCCCTAATTCAAAATATTATGAAATCTAGGTACTAACAGTGTAATTTAGCCATAAATATTAATACGGAATTAAAATAAAAATTATTAAAATTATATGGGCTAAATATGGTATTTTGCCTTAAATATATAAACATATATAGGTAGTGACTAAAATATAAATTAAATAAAATTCGAAGACCAAATTGAAATAGCACAAAAACCTGATTTCGTGACCAAAATGAAAGTTTATAAAATTAGAGGGACTGTAGATGTAATTTACCCATTTCAAAATTACACACAGACCCCTCCCCAAAATGACGTCGTTCGGGGAGGGGTATTTAAACCCAAAAATCAGCCTAAAATGGCATAACCCTCTTATTTTCTCAAATTTGCTTCTCTCTCTACAATTCCCTCACCGGAGGGAAAGTTGGCCATCGTCGGCCACCTTGCTCCGGCACCGACAGTCGCCGCCACTGGATTTTAGAAAAATACACTAAAACGTAGATCTTATTTTTCTAAACCCAAATCCAAACTTCCCTTCTCCTAAAAAATAGTCAATCATACTAGATCTAAAGTTTTACCTCCAAAATATTCAACGCTCCGAAGACGTTTCAAAGGCCTCCGATGATAGTAAGTCTTCCCTTCTTTTCCTTTCAATTGTTTTCCGTTACTGTTGGTTGCTTGTTGTGTTTCCGTTTCGGTTGTGTGTTATGTTTGTTGTTTCTATTGTTGTGTATATTCTTTTGCAGTATCGGTCGAGTCCTTTTATAGGGCTCGTGATACTACTCTCGGACCGATCACAAGTGTGGTCCTCGGTGAGTCATTGAAGCTACGGTGGTGACACACCATAGGGCAGTGAGACGTGTGCGGCCGCCCTTGTACTTCTGGAGTCTTCGGTTGAGGCGGCAGCGTCGTGGAAACAGCTGGAGTGGAACGTCAAAGGCGGTGGCCGACGTAGACCATATGGTGTAATGAAACCCTAGGGTTTCTGCTGGAACCATTTGGACCGTTGAATCTCTCTAGATCCAACGGCTGAGAAGATTGACGACTGGAAGCTGAGATGAAAACCCTAGATGGGTTCTGTTGGGTCAGGTTTGCACCGGATCTAGACTTCCTGGATCTGAGCCTGCTTTAATTGGGTTCTGGGTTGATTCTTGTTTGGCTTTCGGGTTATAAATGGGCATGTAATATTTGTAATTATTTTTTTAATAATAATAATAATAATATAATAATAATAATAACAAAAGATAATAATAACAAAAGATAATAATAAAACTGAATGGACAAAAAACTAGTGTCTATAAACACCATTTTAAAGGTAAGTGATTTTAAGATTGGTGGTTTCTTGTATTTTTTGTTTGGTTTTTAGTCTTTGGGTGATATAAATGCTTAAGGAAATTTAAAGAGGATTAAAAGCTAAGGGATTGAGAAATTATGGTGAATTAGGAAAAAGGGTTTTTAAAGGAATTTATGAAATCTGGTTAGTAATTGGATTATAAATGCATATTTGACTTGTTAAATGTCTAATTAAGGTATTTGAAATATTAGAAATGATTAAGAACATGTTTGAAGAATAGGTATGCTTTTTAGTTTTAAGTGTTCTTTGGAGAAATTTGGATGTTATAAGGGGATTTATGGATATAAGTTAGTTGGGATAAGTGATAATGAGTTTGATGGCATGATTGGAGATAAGAGTAAGAGATTTAGGTGAAATTTGGGTAAAATTCGAAGTGAAATAAGTAAATTATGGGTAAGGTATTGGTACTTGAAGAACAGTATCGATTCTATAAGGTTAAATTGAAGGAAATAATATGAATACGATGAACAATATCGATACTGATTGAAGTAGTATCGATACTGATGTGTAGGTATCAATACCGTGAGTATGGTATTGATATTGTTTATTAAAGATGGATTCCAGAATGTCAAAATGATATCGATACTGAAGTAGGTATCGGTACCATATTAGGGAAGTATCGGCATTGTGTGTAGAGTATCGATACTATTCTGTAACACCTCAACCCATATCAGACCTGGATACGAATCTGAGGTATCACATTGTGTTGAAAATATTTTGATGTTTCGATATAACAAATTAAGTTAAATGAATTTTAAGATTTTACAAAAGATTTTCTAAGTATATTCGATATAATTATTCGAATATAAAAAATTACTCCAAGTCTTTCAAAGTTCATTTTAATCAGTGTAAAAATATGTTAAACAATTTTGCAAAGTATTTCGAGCCTTAATCGAGTCAAAAATCATTTCTTAATTAAAATCAAACCAAAATGGGCAGATTGCCCAGAGGGAATCGATACCCCCTCGATTCCCCCCCAAG